CAATCTCAAGAGATAAATGAATTAAATTACTATTGTCAAAGGTGTTGATATTTGGCATTAATACTAACTTAAACTATTATTAAAAATTATAGGTTCACAACATTCCATTTTCTCAGTTGGTTGACACATAGGCATCATCATCTAAGTATACTGACTGATTATCTTATTATGTATAATGACTGACTATGTTAGTGTCTATTTTCCAAGTATAACACTTGCTTCATAATTGCAGGTCATTCATGAATGATGAGGGAAGTAAGTATGCTTGTTGGTGAATAAGAAGTTGTTGGATGTCTAGGGTTTTTGATGTTGTGATGCAGTATTTTTGTTGTTATGATGCAGTATTTCGGTTGCTGTCATCCAGTATTTAGGTTGTTATGATGAAGTATTTTGATTGCTATGCTGCAGTATTTGTAATACCCCTAATTTTAAAAATGATAGTCTCGGTATTATAATTTTATATGCTTTTCTTTTATTTGTTGAATTGCTAATTTTGGTTGTTAATTATTGATATTATCTTTTTAATTGTTTAATTGCGTGTTTGATGTGGATTAATTTTTAGTTGTGATTTAAATTATTCTATTTTGGGTTGGACTTTAATTCTTTAATTATTTTATTTAGGTTTTTATTTTAATTATTAACTTATTATTTTCTTTTATGGAATTATTAATTTCTGTATTATGTTAATTGATATTAGGGTTTTGAGTTATTTATTTTTCTGTTGTCGGTGTAGTTTTAAGTCAGTTTTCTATGGGCCGATTAGGTTTCAGATTAGGGCTTCAATTAACTTTAGGTTTTGTGTAACCTTATAAATAGACGTAATAAGGCTGAACCTAGGGTTTTAAAAACAAACAAAACCAAAACACGTCTGTGGAAATAGAGAGAGAGAATAGATGAAGGTTTGCAATATTTGGAGTTCGCCAGAGACCTTAGAAGACGACGAAGAGATTTTGGTAAAAAATCTCAAAGGCAAGTTCTGTCTTAACTCTCTCCCTTAGGCTTCGTGTTCTTTGCATACTTATATAGTTCCAGGATGAATTACATGTTTTAAAAAAAAAAAAAAAAAACAATATATAATATCTGTTTCCATGATTTTAAACTGTTGGTCGTAAGTTTTATTTGATAAACTGTTTAAACTTGAAACATTCCTACATTATTTTCTGTTTAAATCCATGTTAGTAAATGTAATAAGGACTTAAACAAGGGTTGGAACCTACTGGGATCTAGTTACAGTTTCTAGGAACCTAAATAGCGAAGTGCCAGAGGAGTAGACGATGCCGGAAAGGAGAACACAAGGCAGAGGAGGGAGAGAGCCGGCTCCTCTTGGATTTGGAGCTGGCTCTTCTTGGTTTGGAGGCGGCTCCAAGGCCATTGGAGGCAGCTCCAAGGGTTTTTTGAGCCGCCTCCTCTTTTGTTTTTCCAGTTTTTTCGTTCTGTTCTTTTGTTTTTTCAATTTTCAGTAAGGAAGCCATAGTGGTTGGGTTGTATGAAGTTTCAAAGGATAAAATGTGTTGTAATGGATGCTTAAAGGGTTGTCTAGAGTAAAATTTAAACTCTAACGGACAGTTAATTTATGAACAAACTCTTAGTTGTCAATTATGTAAATCTGTATGCAAAATTTTAATGAACTTACATACTGTGAGGATTTAGCTTATTAATTGTTATTTATAAGTTAGAAAATCCTATGAGAGGGATTTAATCACTGCTAATTTTGTATGGTGGTGCTGAATAAGCATGATAAAAATCTTTGTCGTGCTTAGGTTGTTTAGAGACTAGTTGATCATTAGATTCTAGCAGGTAGTGCATTGATGGTCGGACTGGGATTTTAAAATATGTTAATGGCTTATAGTGTTGATGCTCACCATAAAATTAATTGGTGAGGTACTGCTACTTCAGGTTTGTCAATTATGTGAATACTGGGAGTTGATATTTAATTATAAATACTATTGGTGTGAGCAAATAATGGTTTCTGTGCAATGATTTTTGTTTAAGCATGATTGTTGATATACTCTTATATGCTTAGTATGGAATTGTTGATATTATTATTATTGTGGTCGATACTTTATCAACTGTTGGAAAGATGGGATTGTATGCACCGGTATGGGACGGTGTGATACTAGGTTTGGATTAGCTCAAAATAAATTGCTAAGTCCTACCTACTTTGGAATAAGGGCACGGGTTATTAAATAAAATCCTCCTTATATTTATGAGTCAGTGCGGTTGAATACGCTGAACGACTTACTGGATTTATTATGGATGGTTAGGAACGGAGTTTAAATATAGTTTTATGATACCGCGATGTGAGCTTGAGTCTCAGCGACGACGGTTAGGGTGCATTTATGTAATAGGATGCGTAGCTGGCTGTGAGGGTTGAGGTATACCCTGTTTAGGTTTAGGTACTCATGCCCACTCAGGTGCATTTTGTGTGATGCCTTCTATTCAGGTTAAGATCCTCTTCATAATCTAGCGAGAGTCCAGTAGTGTGGATATATTTATGTATGGATTATTAGTTATTGTTGAACTATTTAGTATGTACATACGTATCGAGTCTCTGCTTGGATTGTAGTAGGATAAAACTTGTTCGTGGGCCTGACCCACTCCTCTTTTTCAGCTGTACGTCAGTTTCAGGCTTGAGCTTGTTTGTGCTAAGCAGAGACAATCTTCCACTCTACTGACGATGTAGGACTTCTTTCCAGATAATAGATTTGGATTTTATCTTCAGCTTTACTTTCATTTCAGTTTGGGATTTTTATTAGGGGTCCACTGGAGATAGATTCCCGAGTTGTTTAACTTATGGAGTTTTGGTTTATCGAATTTTAAGTATTTAAATTATTAAGGATTATCTTTTAGTTTTCTTTCAGCTCTTAAATTTTTAAATTCTTATTTCATTTAGTAATCTGTGTTCGTTTTAAAGTATTAATTGTTTAATATCCCTCGGGTTTGGGTCTGGGCCTGATCAACCCGTGTCTCGGATCCAAGGGATATCACAATATTTTGTTGCTGTCATGCAGTATTTAGGTTACTGTGGGTTGTTGTCTTAAGGCTGTCAAGCACTTTTTTGGCTAGAAGGTTCTTTTACAGTTGTTGTGATGCAGTCTTAGGGCTTTTTGGTTGTACAAACTAATTTAATCTTCATATTTTGGTATTATAATGTAAGTGTGCTCAGGATGCACCTTTTAATGACTTTAAGTATGCTCAGGAGGCACCTTTTAATGACTTTATGTATGCAACCTTTATATGCAATCTGTTAATGACTTTATTGGTATCTTCTGTGCACTATTATTGATGATAGAATATGTGACCAATTTGCAGGATGATTTTGCAAATCATGATGTATATAGAGCTCCTGAACTGAAACAACACAATACAAATTCTAAAACACAATTATAGGAACAAAATAACTTGTATTACTACATGGTTAATAATACAACATCAAATTTGCTACTTTCCCTCATACATGAGTTAGCCCCAACACATACTACTACACCCCATACATCAACTCCAAAAGCACCATACCAAACATCAACTTATCAAAGAAAAACAAAACAATCTTCTGGCATATTGATTGTAGACACAACTTCACCTCTTTAGCATCACCGCAATAATCAACACCACAACAGATAAAAAGAAAAAAAAAAAAAAAAAATGCTCCCAATAAATAATAATGAAGCAACCAAATTGATGATAGGTAGTTCTGCTCCTGCAACTATTGCTTGTGGTGGTGGTGGTGGTGTTGCTTGTGGTGGTGGTGGTCCTTCTGACAGTGGCCCTGCTTGTGATGGTTATGGATTAGACCATTCCCATAGTCCACAAACTCCATTTGCACATTTGTAATATATCCTCCCCGGATTAGTATCAGAATCCGAAATGAATACGGCAACCTTTCTTCCACATTTGCATTTCATATTGCACAAAACCCTTCGATTTGCAGATGTGGATGGGTCAGACATTGAAGTCATCTTATAAAAGAGGAAGAAAACCTATACACAAAAATATTCAAACAGAAACAGAGCAAAACCTATAAAGAGAAAAAAAAAATTGTGACATACCTCAACAACGTAACAGAGCTTACCAAACCAGTACAAAAATGATAGATTAAGAAAGCTTGAACAAAGCTAAACAACTCCTTCATTTCTCACTGTAAATTGAAGAAATTCCACCTATAGAGTGAAAACTAAACAGAGGAGGATAGATCAAGAAAGCTTGAACACAGCTCAACACCACCTTCGTTTCTCATTGTAAATCGAAGAAATTTCACCTATATTCACATTCAAAATTAGGGTTTGTGGGTAACTTACACAACTTTGCTTTGTGAATCTTCACCACCTTGCAGAGAATCAAAACTGAACCAGTTTATACATAAAGCAAGAGAGGGAGATTTGCAATAGAAAGGCTTTAGGGTTCCAAATGCCAAACACAACTCTGAATTGGGGATTAATACAAGCATAATATATTATAGTGGTGATAAGGGCAATTTCGTCATTTTCAGATTTTTGGTATGCCACGTCATCATCGCATGCATATTCAACGGTAACAAATGGCCAGAAGGCTACAGGTGGATAATTTTTGCAAAAAAAAAAAAAAAAAATAGTTCAGGAGCTACTTGTTCAAAAATAGTTCAGGGAAGTTTTTAGGAAGTTTTTAGGGAGAGAGAGTATAATCCAGGATGGGTTTTTGCACCTTTGACATATTAGTCACTATGGGTAATTCTTTCAAGATCCATGGATATAAGTGTAACCATTGAACATAACAAAATTTCTAAAAGCCCATATACCATCATTTGAAGCCCATCAAAGTGTACAACAGTATTTTTCTTGTAGTATATATATTTTCCTTTTTTCTTGTCGTATATGGCTCAACCAAAACAGTCATATTAGTTAGTTGCAGCAATCAAATCTATTTCTCAACCTGCCTCCTGAATTATGAACTATCCAGGATAGCGTTAGGTACTAGCTCTAAACATTGTCTGATCATTCCTGTTATAAGCCATAAAATGCTGGTTTTCAAAGAACAAAAATAACTTTGTAGTTTTCAATATTAACCATACATAAACCATTTAACAGCAAAAATTTGGATAGCACAGCAGTTCAGCTAGATATAGCATAAAACTACCTACTATAGATTATTCTCGTACATATTTTTAAGAAAAAAAACTCCCAACCCAGGTAAACAGAAAGAGCACCTCAGTCAGTTTCTTGACTTACCCCCTCTTCCACGCCCACGGAAGCCACCTCTACCACCACCGCCACCACCAAATCTCCCTCCGTGGCCTCCTCCACGGCCTCCACCAAATGCCTTATTGGCTTCAGGTTTTAGTTGCATGTTTTCCGGCAAGGGGAGAATGTGGTCTACACACTTCCGGAAGCTGAAATCATCAACAGATTCATCATTTCTAATGAGGAAGAAACAGCGACTTTTCCACTGTGGATGGTTTTGCACTTGGAAAGCATTGATCCCATTGCCAATCTTTTTCTCTGGCTCGAAATGACCCTTCTTCAGCAACTCCAGCAATACCATGTGCTCATACTGCAATACATAAATAGGCAAAAGATAAGTGAGCAGTACGAAGCTACAAATCCAAGACATTATGAAGTTATCAGGCCCTGCTAATTTCATGGCAATTTTATCCCAATACAGAAACATTGCCTCTAAATGCCAGATGCAACCCTATAAACTAAAATAACCAAAAAGCCAAGATTTTTAAAATAATACTTATGAAAGCCAAAACAATTTACTTTAAATGAAAATTACCGTGTGGGGTTACATATTAGAACGTGGATAAACTTCTTAATTGTACGAGTTTAACAAATATGCATTTAAAGGACAATTATCTGTAGTATATATCCGTAAATGCAGTATATTCTGGTACCACAGCAGTTTGCAGCAACTCACCTGATACCAAACAAGGTTTGGGGGGTTTTTCTACTACTTGAGAATACCCTCTCACCTGAAAGAACCTTTTTTTCTTTCTTTTCTTGAATGCCAACCTGAGTGGAAACACCACATCCATCATTATTACACACACTTGACCACCATGAACTGTCCTTCACTCCATAAATTCTGTGGGTTATTCATATAATTCAGAGGCTACTGCCCAACTTTCTCTCTTTAATCAAACAAATCATGTCTCGAGCAACCATGTGATATTCCAATCCTTGTCATTAACTCGATAACGTCCCTCTAAACCTTTTCCAATTTAGTTAACAAACAGAAAAACAAATTTTGAGAGATCAAGAAATGAAAGATACTAATTAATAGCTTCAACATGAAGCCTTGAACCTGCCAACCACATACAATTACAGACTCCACCACCACCACATCCCAGAGAAAATATAGAAAAATATCAATTCATATCAAACAATATCTTTATTCTAGAAGCATTCAACTACGAGGCCAAGAATGAAAAGAGTGAGCCAACAATTCCGCATGAAAATATGGCTGATTTCTATCAATTCTTTAACTTTCATAAGGAGAAAGAGATGCCAAATTTATTTATTATTTTTGAAGATAATGGTTAATGGATGAAAAAATTAGCAAAATGTCAACAGAGAAACATAGCAATTTGATTAAACAAGAGGAATGATCAGACAATGCTTAGAAAATTCTCCCCGTTCCTCATCTAACTAATGCTTCCTTACTGTCCCTAAACACCAATTCATTTAACTCAGACACATTAAAATGACACCTAAATCTAATGGCAAAACAACCAACATCACCAAACATCAATTTCGGTCGATTACTTCAATCCAATTCCTACTTAATAAGTTCATTTTGATACACAAAGTTATCTATAGCACACTAGTTCCAAGTACACAGAGTTCAAAACGACTGGCAATTCAATCCTTTAGGACTAGCAGCAGAGACCAAGTAGTCCAGTAAATGGACAGTTCCCTTGTTGGAAGCCTTTCAAATACTTATACACCATAGTAGAACTAATCAGCATTACCCCTCTATGTTAAAATCATTATTCATAAAGATCAAGAATCAAGAACAAAGAGCTACCAAACTTCAATTGTCTATCCTATTGCAGGAATTACGCTATTCTGCTTCACATTCTATGCAGCACCATGATCCCGAATATGCTTATTAATACAAGCAGAACATTTAGTATGGGGCAACAAGGCAAGTCACTCCTAGGAGTCCTGTAACCTTAAGGTAGAGGGAGAATGCCTTTTTTTAAGAATAGAATTGAGATCATGTGGTATGCAGTCAAATTATATTGAGTTAGTCTTTAAGTAGTAAGTTAAATTATCAAAGAGTTCAGATAAATTGCAACAAATTTCTTTAGTCACTGACACATTCGACATAGAAACCCAAATATGACCTTCCTACTATCAAGGCGTGAGCTCATAGTGATAACACTACTATGAGGGCGTGAGCTCAGTGGTAGGACCATCATAGCAGAGTTACTCAGCTGAACACAGGGCTAACCTTCTTTGTTCTTTTAGAAAGAGACTGCTCTCAGACTTGGACCCAATTCCCACGCTGGTGAGAAACGCAAGACACTTAAACACAACATCAAATTTCACAACTTCCCCAAAACTCCATTGTAGAAAGTTCTTCCTTTTATGATATCAGATGGACTCCATTGCTCTAACAAAATTCAACACAAATCATTTAGGATCATACAACATACATGATAATTTGGAACTAACTTGTTCCAACACGGAGCAAGGTGGGAGGTGGGTGGCTGGAGAACAGATAATCAATTATGATAGATGGGATGAAGGCCACACCTGCACAAATACCATATATAGTGCATATACAATTACCATTCACCAACAAACATGTACTGATACTTCTAAAATGCAAACACATGCATTAATTAGCAACAAGTAATTAAGGAGGAAAATATAGAACATTAATTATAGACAATATATAAATCTAAATCAAAATGGTAATGTGGACTATGATCTTGAGCTGTATAAGATTATATGCATATTTCTAAAAGTTACAGACTCGTTAATGTAGCCCATCATTACAATTCTTAGAACTTGTACAGTATTAATTGAATCCAGTTTGCTACTTCGATCACATACACAACCATTGATCCAGTAATGAGCAATGAGCAAATGTAAAGCACATCAACTATGATTATTATAAAATCAAAATTTAGTCAGAAGATAAGAGAAATCTTACTAACTCTCCCCTTTTTCTTCTCAACCAAACAATGGAATACGGTATCTCTATTCCCTTCACTTCTTTTTCTCTTATTTTATTTATGTACTCTGTTCTGTTACTGTTTTTTTTTAGCTTAAAAAAATAAATAAAATAAAATAGTCTTCCATGGTATCTTCCCTCATTTTCCCTCTAGTACATTTTGTTGTATTTTCACTTCCTTTATGTTGATCTCCTGAAGCCTTTTATTTTCCTTTCTTTCTCTTTCATTTTCCCATCACAATGCATAGGAGATAACAGAAAAACAGAATGTACAATAAATAAATAAATATATATATATTACCTTGTTGACATTGAGATTAGGAGGCCAGAAACGGAGGAACTTGAAGAAATAATTGAACATCTCCACAGAGGACCCAAAACTCTTCGGGCCGAGGCTGACACGACCCGACTCCTCTCCTCCAACAGGTTCGCTTCCTCCCAAATTCTCCAAACGCTGTTCTTCAACTGACTTATCGACCCTCTGCTTCTTCGCCCCATCGTTCTCTTCCTTCTCCGACTCCGCCCCTTCCTCTCTCGCGCGCTTCGAGTTGGGATCGCCACCGTTCGCCGCCTCGTCAACGACAGCTTCTTCAGAGGCGTTTAGGGATTCGAGGTCCATGTCTTGCGTGGACGAGATTTTCTTTTCTGTGACTATATCGGTGATTTCTGTTACGTTTTCGGCCATGACTGAGCTCTCTCTTTCTCTCTGCGAACGGCGGAGAGTGAAAGAACAGCCAAAAACCCTAGCTTTAAACCCTACTTCTTAAAATATCGATCCAAACATGGCCCGATGAAATGGTTTATGCCGACCCGAATTTGTCTTCTCTTAACCTTTTCCGTCTTTTATTTCCCTTTCTTTTTATCTTTTTTCCTTATTCGGAATTTGGGACTAATCAGCATGAAATCTGTGCTTTAAAATTGCACTTTTTATCTTTTTCCTTATTCGGAATTTGGGAGTAATCAGCATGAAATCTGTGCTTTAAAATTGCAATTGTGCCCTTTGTTAGTTTAATTTTCTTCGGTTTTATTTCTCTCAATGCCACACATACAAATAAAAAAATATTTTTAAAAATGCTCCCAACTTACACAATTACAGTCTGGTGGTAAGGATTGTGCTTGGCAGCTCTTCCATCCCTTCAAAAGTGAAAGGTGTTGTAAAATATTTTTAGTATATATATATATATACAAATAAAAAAATATTTTAAAAAATGCTCCCTACTTACACAATTACAGTCTGGTGGTAAGGATTGTGCTTGGCATCTCTTCCATCCCTTCAAAAGTGAAAGGCGTTGTAAAATATTTTAAGTATATATATATATATATATTTCCTTCTTACTTTTTAGGGTATGGTACAGAAACATTCCTTAGGGTTTGAGTTACCACTATACAGATGAAAGTTTGCTTATTTTAGACAACGACACTCCCTAATGAAATTTATCATCCAAACATAGCTTTAAAATATATTAAAAGTCCACTTTACCCTTCACTATTTTATTGATTTTAATTATAAAATATCAAAAATACTTAAATGACCGAATAACCCTTCTCATCTCTCTCTATATATATACACACACACACACAAACAACCACAGTCACCACCACCCCCAGCCTCTACAATCACCACCCACTAAAGAAGATGTCGAAGAGGAGCTCTGCCACCGTCACCTCCTAAACCTCGCCGGAGCTCGACCTCGCTGGCGGTGTAGCCGTGAGCAAAAATCGGCCGTAACAGGCTTCCCAATACGACTCAACTCTGACTCAAGTTCAATGATAGTCTTGCTAATAAGAAACTAAATACCCCGGATTCGAGACTTGATGACAGTTTCCAAATGTCTGGAAAGCATATTTCCTAAATGCTCAGAATCCATCCTGTGAGCAAGATACTTGTACTCTAGAGAATTGGCAAAATACTTCCGCTCTCTACGCCAAGCAGCAATCATGTCAACACTTTTGTTAATATCAGCTTCGGAGTGATTCACGACCCCAATCCAAGGGAACTAAAGCTTAAAAGCCCGCCCTTCCAAGATTTCAACTGCACTAGTACCCTTGTCCATAAAATCAATCTTCGTCAAATGTAATACCCCGATATTTTAAAGGATTTATTAATTGGAATTAATTGCTTTTATTTTATTTTTAAATGATTTATTTAATTTAATTTGAATTAATTGCGTTTATTTTAATTTTTAATTGATTTGTTTTATTGAGTGCTTAGATTAATTGTTTTATTTTATTTATATTTCATGAATTATTAATATGATGATTGTTGTGTGTGTGCTTAATTATTGATTGAATTGTTAGCGTGTTGATTTTATTGTTATGGTATGACTTGGTTGTAATTTATTGTTTTGTTTATGTGTTTAGTGTAATTAATTTTTAATTTAATTATTTATTTAATTATTTGGTTTATTTAAATTAATTGGTTTTTGACTTAAGGGAAGTTGGACCAAAAGATGTGATCGTGGGCTTGTATGAAGCCTTATTGGGTTAATTAATAAAGGCCCATGGTTATTTAATTATTTAAATAATCATTTTTGGTATTAATTATAAATATATAAAATTATATATAAATATAATTAATTAATAATTGTTAGGGAAAGATATATATAGAGATATATATTTATGAATATATATAGGTTTATATGATTTAATTAACTAACGGTTAATTATGGAAGATAAATATATATATGCTTGAAATATAATATATGTATATATATATATTATATTAACTAAAGATTATTATCTTATTAGTAGTCCTAGTTGGAATAGGAGTTAAGTTTTAATGTGTATAAATATACACATAAGGTTTAGGGTTAAAAAGTTTATACGTTAGAAAATTAAGAAAAGTAGAGAGAAAAAGAAGAAGAGGAGTCCGGCAAGGAGGAGACCGAATTGGAGAAAGAGGATGTCGAGATTCGAAGAGTCTTGAAGCGTCGGTTTTGTTTTAAAACCTTCAGGCGAGTTCTTCTCTATCTTTCCTCTTAGAACTCATAAGCTTATCACCTTGATTATCGAAATTATAATTTTACTTTATTAAATTAAATTATTAATCGGATTAGATGAGCATGTTTATTCTTTACAAAACTATAGGTTTAAACATGTGAATATATGTATGTATCGTAATTTAAATTTTGTATGTGAGGTTAGCTTAATTGAACTTTGTTTTTTTTAATTTTTATAGGTTGCTTTTATTTTGTATAGCATGATTAATTAAATTAAACAGATCTTAATTTAATTATATGTGTTCATTTATGCTCAGAATAATAAATAAAGCTTTTGGGATTTTTTCTAGAAATTTTCTGGAATTAATTTAGATTTTTAATGTTACTTTAGGAATTTTTATATATATATATATATATATATATATATATATATATATATATTTGTTGTTATACACATACTGGGTTGGATTTAAATCGGCGCAATCCAGTGCGTTATAGTCCGTGGTGGTATAGCGTGCCGCGGATCAGGACCATGGATGGGGTTGATCAAAGGGAGGATGATCTGGTGTGTCGCAGCCCAACATGCTACGGTGCATGCGCGGATCAGAGCTGCTGATGGCGGCTTGATTACAGGAAGCGGATCCGGTGTGGGCAAGCTTACCTGGACACAAGGGGAGGACCAATGGAGGCACGCCAGCACACGCAGAAGGCTCACAGAGGCGCGTGGGGGGCGTGCAGGCGCGTGGACGCGCCTGCCAGTGTGTTTTAGCGTGTGGAAGCATGTGCAGAAAGTGGAGGCGCGTTTGGCGGCGCGTGCGAGGGTGTTTGAGGTTCCGGTAAGGTCCTGTGAGTTTCCAGATTTAATTTTAAGTCTGTGAATGTTGAATTTAGCCACTAGAGGTGGTATTCCTAAGGTTTTAGAGAGCCGTTAAGTATTACTAAATATATAGTAGCATTTATTTATGTAAAACAATTATTTAATAATTGATTACGGATGAGGGGTATGTGTATATATATATATATATATATATATATATATATATATATATATATACAATTGTTTATATATATATAGGGATATGGTTTAATTAATTTGTGATTAGTATGGAATGAAGTGAATATATATATATATATATGGAAGGAATTATACATATATATATTGTATAATATATTGGTATATGTATATATCATTTAAGATGATTTAATTATTAGTCTTATTTGGTATATATGGATAGACTGGTTATTAAATTAATTATATGCATATGACATGCATGGAATGCTTAGGTAGGCGTTGTTTTGTTGATAAGTTAATTTGCCTATATATGGATTGTTTAGTTGATAAATTAACTTATAAAGTTTGGTACATGGTTGAATTTTAGGCATGGATAAGTTGCCAAAGGGCGTAAATATATTGCCTAAGTATAGGGATAAATAAAATATAAATAGGAAGCATGGATGAGTTGTTAAGTTAAAAGTATAAATGTATATATTTAAGGAGGCATGGTTGAATTGCTAAGGTATAAATAAATATACTTTCAGGAGGCATAGTTGAATTGCCAATATATAAATAAATATATTTTTTAATGGCATGGTTGATTTGGCAATGTATAAATAAATATACTTAAGGATGCATGGTTGAGTTGCCAATATATAAATAGATATATTGTAATAGCATGGTTGAATTGCTAAAGCGTAATTAAATTATTATGTGTTAGATGATTAAAATATCATCTACGGTTATTGTATATATAGGTTGGATTAGGTTTAAATATTCTTAAATTAGAATAGTCTAGTACTTACAGGTTAGTGTATTATTTTATGCATATTAATATAATAATACTGGTGGAGACATGAATGATTTGTCAAAGATTAGATTTTGGATATGTGATTTAAATAATTAAAATCATTATCGGGTTTGGGATTAAATATTATATTCTTTTTATTATAATTTATTATTTAAATGATTAAACAACTGACTAGGATGGGATTAAGGTTAAAGGAATTTCTTTTTAAAATAAATGGAAGATTGGTCTAGAAATGATTTTTATTTTAATAATTATTTAATAGGTATGAAAATTTAATAAACCTATTAATGGATGTGAATAGTATAGTATATATAATTATATATAGACATGTATATCGTGCTTTATTAAAGTTAAAACTTTATTAGGTTTGGTTTTGATCTGTAATACCCCTAATTTAAAAGGATAGACCTGGAAATTTATTCAATTGTTTAAGTTGAGTTTTATTTGTTTAAATGATGAATTGGTTGGCATTAATTAATTGTGATTTAATTGTAACTCTGTTTATTTGTTTGATTATTTTTTTTATTTATTATTTAACTGTTTGTTTGTAATTTTACTGGTTAATTGTTTAGTTATAGGAATTATTTGCTTTAATTGTTATTATTTGTTTCATTTGAATTAATTGATAGTTTTCATTATTGGTTTAAATTATATTAGGTAGCAACTTGTTAAATGAATTTAGTTTATTAAATTTAATTAGTTTCTAGTTTAAATTAGTTTCTATTTTAACGTGGCTGTAGGGAAGGTTGCATATGGATGGTTATACATTAGAATTATAGTTCACAGCCGACAGTGCTTTTAACCTAGTTTTCTCTATGGGCCGAGCAAATCCACTTAGGGTTTAAGAGAGTTTAGGATTAATATGGCCTATAAATATTCCTCTAGGGTGTCTGCCTAGGGTTTTTAGAAGGATATTACTCCACAGTAAGACACAAAGAGTTTAGAGACGGCTGGGAGGAAAACAGAGAGTAAACAGAGGATTCGCCGGACGATTTAGACGAACGTCGGTGTAAGGCAAGTTCTATCCT